AAGAATCTACCTCTATATGGTTCTTTAAAATAAAAAATAAACTGGACTAGCAACTTGATATAAAAATACAATCATCAAGTTTTTTACATAATATTGTTCTTTAATACAAGCCAAATACAATAAGCAATATTGCAAAACCACATTGGATCGATATAGAAATGAATAATAAATCAATTATTGAAAGAAAAAAAAAAAAGACTCTACAATTTACTAATACTATATATACAATTAAGAACAATCTCCACTTTTCAAATGTTTAAGCCATAATATCAATAAATTCAATAGCAATAAAGCTAACTGCAACTTTGAAGCAATAAAATAAACAATAGTAAAAATTCTAGTTTATTACAATAAAATTTCATTACAGAGATACTCAATAATCAAGAAGCCAAACTTCAAAAATTGGATATCACTAAACTTTTTATTATTGAAGTTGATAGCATTAATATATATATTATATATAAAAAGAAATCAAAACATAGAAACTATAAGTCTTATAGAAGAATTTCTTTAGAATCAAATATACAATCATTATAAAGTAAACAAGCCAATTTATCAAGGAGCTCTTTCAAATTAGTAAAGAGCTCTAAACTATATACATTTCAAAATTTACACAGATAGTTCTATAAGCTAGTACAATAAACAATATTATATGGAAATAGAATAGACAATAATAATAAATAATAACAGATATTTCAATTTTCAAGAATAAGTCAAAAATTTTTCTTTCTTAACTAGAGCTAAACTGATGACTATTCTTATAGCAGTCAGTATACTTTCTACTATAGCAAAGTACAAATATATACAAATAGTATGGTGACTATTAACAGTATTTAGAAAACTATTAAGTTTACTATTATATAACATTACAAAAAATAAAAAATTCAAGTATTTTATAAATAATCAAAGAAATCTGCAAAAACAGAAACATCAAACTGGAATTGAAAGTACAAGTATTTATGATAGATATACAAAACAGTTCCACAAATTAACTAGTAGAGATCAGTCAATAATAAAAGATGAGATCTAATACAAAAAATATCACAATCAAAACTGAAAATTTATAAGAATTATACTTTTTCACACAATATAACAAACAAGACTTAGAAGTACTATTCAAGAAAATAATAAAAAAAAATCATAAAAACAGTTTACTTGCTAAGAAAAGCCTCTTGAATAGAACCAGAAACAACCTTGATGACTATTTAATTCAAAGAATTAATTGACTCACTACCTTCAAATATCTTCAAACCATTAATTATATAACAAATTGAAAAGACCAATAACAAAAAAAAATTCTTTTTAGTATATAAAATGAAGAACTTCTCATGAAAACCAAGCTATACTACAGAGTATCCTCAAATTATAAAGATAACTTGTGTAACAAATATAAAGAAAAAGAGACAAATATATACATATTCATTTGCATAACACACAAGGCAATAACATAACAATACATAATCAATACAATTATTGCAAACATTACAAAGTATTTGATCAAAAACAATATTACACAATGGATTGACAAATTGAAGAAAAAACATCACCGCATGATGAGAGATACTTGAAACATATAATTAGAGGAGCCTTTCTCAAAGAGATAATACAAATCATCCAAGAGGCAATTCTAGAAAGACAATTCAAACATAACTGCTACTTAGACATCAAAAGAGACATCACCCACTACTTACAAAAACCATGAAAGGAAAGATATAAAGACTTTTAACTTTGGAAAGCACAACAGGGCATCACTAGGAAGATAAAGAAAAAAAATGCAAATATCACAAGTATGAAATAGAGCCATGGTTCAAGGAAAGAGAAATCCATAGCAAGGAATAATTAATACAGCTAGTAAATAAATACATGAACAAAACTATTCAAAACATAACAACACCTTACACCATCCTGGAGTTTTTGTACAGCACTAGCCCAGCCTTTGCAGGTTAGCATTCTTTAAAATGAGGTGGCAGCAAGCCACAAGGTAAGTACAGTCAAGAGACTGCTCCTTTATCAAACTATATTTGGTAAGCATAGGTAGTTATAGCATCTCATGTACATATCTACCATATCTCAAATAAAGTAAGGCTGAGCCAGTGTTCAAAAAAAATGTAGTAAAAAAGCTAATACCAATTGATAACACTTTCATGACAATTTTTTTCTTTTAACACTTATCTAGAACGTCATTTTCTTATCGTTAACTTTTTGGCAGTATTTTATTAGCCACAAATTTTATATGTTAGAAATGACAATTTTTAAAATAAGTGCGTGCTGTATCCTTAGCTTTCAACATTATTTCGAGTCTCTCATTTTGAGTTCTAAAATTGCTTTTTTTCTTCTTCTTTTTTAAAGAAAATAAAGAAAATAATGAATTTTAAAATAAAATGCTATGTATAATATAAGTATATTAAAGAACTAAATTTTGAATTCTTTTTCGCCACGTATTTATCCCAGCATACTTAACCTTTTAATTGTTGATTGAATATCGGCACATATTTATCCCGAGCATGCATAACCTTTTAATTGTTGGTTGATTGAAAATTTGTGAAACGGATTGTTGCTACGTATATTAATTCCATCCCAACTTTCATTTTTCAGTAGAATAAATCGTTTCTCTACATAAAGGTAGAATGAATACCATCAAGAAATGGAGTAAAAGTGTGAGTCAGCATCCTTATAATTTGTAATAAAAACGATGTCTTTTCATTATACTAAACGAATATCGCTTTTTTGAACATAACAAAATAGGAGGAAACTCTATTAACAGAAATAATTGAGCGAGAAATGATACTAGCCTCAAGAAATAATCGTAAAATCAACTGGGTAACCATAAAAACCGAATTTAACGAATCGAATTTAAATCATAGAAGTATTAAATCTTTACAGGAAAAGTTCGTGATATTGACTATTATTTACTATTCATCTCTTCAAGAGATAACATGCTAATTACCTTTATTTTCTCATCGACTTTCCAGGTATAATAATTATTTAAGACCAGATGGTATGTGTGAACATACTGTACTCCTCTTATTTCTTAGTCAGATCTAATAATCGCTTTTTGTTAATTTGTGCAGTCAAGCTTGATGGAAGAAGAAGATATCCGTTTACTGATAAACATATTCAACTTATTTTAAATGCTGGAATAAAGAAAGTTGGGCATTGGAGGACTATATGCAGAATAATTAATGAAAGTCTTCCCGAATCCGCTCCAAAGTGTACTCCAAACCAAGTAAAAAATATATATTATACAACAAAACGTAGGTCATTTGTGATTTTCGACGTTACAGGGGTAAAGTTTACTTACAAGTTAATATAATCTAATTAGAAAAGAGATTCAAGACTTTAGTTAACACCGCTTCCAAAATGAATTCAAAGTCTACTGAAATGGAAAGGTTTCCTACTAAAATGGAGAAATCTCCTACTGAAATGAAAACGATTCCAGGAAAGATGGATTTGGCCAGTTTGCTTAATTAATTTTCTATAACTAAAAGTCGAAAAGCGCAACCATTTACTATATTCAATAATATTCTTACGGATGTATAGAGTCCGACTATATTTTTAATAAACTATCAGACCTTTTCACTATCTATAATAAAATGAACATAAGAAAATCACTTACTTGTTAAATGAATTGCTGACATACTGTAATGATTATTCTAACACATACATATATTACTCGTACAAAAATATTTGATTTGTTCTTTTCTTAAAATAAAAAATTATTCAATTGAAAAAAAAATCTTAAATGTGCAGGATAATTTAGAAAGCAATCAAACAATAGTTTTTTCAGCAATCAAGAATTTAGTATAGCCATTTTTTAAAAATATGATTTATAGAACCAAAAATTGATCAAAAAATTTTTACTTTTAGCATTATTTGGTATTAATAAAATGTATTACTGCACTTTTATTCTAAAATCACTTTTTATGGATTTTAAATCAATCGATTGAATTATTCAAATCTGAAGAAATTTACTCGCTAATTTCCTTATTAGCGATTTTATTACATATTATATAAGCTAGGATATTTATAAAGTTATTATTTCTATAATTTAAATTTTTTCGCTATTTTTTATGAGTTTCATATCATATCATTTTTTAATTTTATTCAAAATTGGAATCCCGATATGAAATTATCAATTGTTTAATTTTTTTTAAAAAATATCAAGTTAATGATAGAAAAGATTTTAAAATTATATATAAAGGCAATCCTAAGTTATTAAAAAAACAAATTTAAAGAAAAATTCAAAGAGCAGGTTTTAAAAATAAATCAAAAATTTTTATTATTAAATTTTGATGATTTTTCAAAAGAATTCTAATAACTTTTTTTTTTTATTTCAAAGTATAATCATTGTTGATTTGTAAAATGAAATAAAAGTAAAAACACGCAAAAATGATTATGTAATGGGAAAATAATATTACGTTTTTTTTTTAAAAAAAAAAATCGATTTTTCCGGTGGTGCCTATATTTATATCGCACTTTTTAGAGGAGTTTGCTTTAGGATGAAGTAGATTCTACTTTGTCTTCGAGACTTGAGTTTGCATTGCAATTCGTGAATTACTACTAATACGATGGTGATTAGGGAAATATCGTTTTCTTTTTTACTTTATAAAAAAAAAATTTTTTTTTTTTTTTAGGTACTGCGACAAAACTAGTTTTTTTTCATGGAATTCTGATATTTAATACATTTCTACATGACTTTAGATAGATAGATATGTATATACTGTATATCATGAGTAATAAGACGCATAAAAATTCTCATCATTTTTCTTTTTCTGCGAACGCCGATAATATTATCAAACAATATTTAAAATATTTCAGTGTCTTTTGGTGAATGCAAAAATGGATAAAAAGAGAGATAGATGGTAGTAGAAAATAAATGAATGGATAATGTATTAATGAATAGTGTATGAAAAAATATATATACGATTAATGAACAAATAATATAATACATAGTAGATATAAGGCAGAAGCATTCGTTTAAAACGTAATTGAGTCCGATTTCAATTGACAAGTCTGCTTGCCAAAATGTCCTCAACGCTCCACCTCATATGTTCATCCACTTTCAAACACATAGACGCCACTTTCCAGATTTCTTCATTCAACGTTTCGTCAACATTGATCAAACTGTCGCACTCTCTTTCATCCTCACTAATACTTCCATTTTCTCTTTCTCTCGTCTCGTCACTAAAGCTTTCGGAGCTACATCTGTTCTCACCGTCTACGTCGGCGTCGCCGCTATTCCGTTTTCTTTCCCTCACCATCCACTCTAGCTCCTCAACGCTCCTGTACAATAATTTTTTCGTGCACAGGTAATAAAGTATCGCACCTAGTGAGAAAGAATCCATTGATTTTCGGACCCTAATGTCTTGGAGAAATGATACCAATTCGGAAGATCTTGAGGTAGATTTCGAAAGGAGTAATTGTGATAAGATAATCTCCGGTCCCACAAATCCAATGGGATAGTCAGGCATGACTGGTTGTGAATTTAGTGCGTCTTTGGAATACAAACTGGTCGATGACTGGTTATCTAAATAGTTGGAACCCGATAATGTAGGCGTTGTCATTACATTTGTGATGGTTTGCATAGTAACTTGAATCTGAAACGGGATGTTATTAAGGTTCCAAGATGAATTTCCGCCATCGTCAACGAGGGAATTGGTGGAAGAAGGTGGGGTAGTGAAAGAATCATCCGTCGAGGCGAGAGAATGAGTTTTTGTTGAAGGGGTAAATTGAGGGTATAGTTGCTCATCGAGGTATCTCGCATTTTCGAAATCGCTTAGCTTGATGCTTCTGATATCAGTTTCCTTACACAGAATGCTTGATGGATTTAAGCTCGTGTGCTAGAAGAGGCAACGGTTAATTGTGATCATCGGTTTCATTATATTCAAAATTCAAAAGGATCGATGCGCAGATACACACCACAACTCCGTTATCGTGTAACCATCTCGCCGCCTCACAAATGTTCCAAAACACGGGTAGTATCTCTCGCTTCTCATTGAACAAATGTAAGTTAGTCTCCAAACTTTCTCCATAGTATTTCGTTATTATGAATGAAACCAATGAGTTTGAGGGTCGGTGCCCTTGGTCATCATCTGCGTTTGATATTTCGCTCATACTACTTCTTCTTTTGGTCTCATCATCATCATCATTAACGGTATCGGTGCCTCCCCTGTCGAACCCTTCGAGCCTAGTGTTTCCTATACTTTCACGCTCGTCTTTAAAAATTGAATTCGTCTCTATATCCATTAACTTAGCAATATATTTTGATTTGATGAACTTCCTGAGAAACAAGACTTCATTCTCAAAATTCATTTTATCATTAAACACTTTAACTATTATTGTATTTTCGGGAACTTTTTCAACATGACCTTTATAATATTTGCTTGCCCTTTTTCGGTTATTAGCATTGAAGGAGATGAAGGGTTGGTTTCTTTGAGAACCCAGAGATTCGACCCGGCGTGAGCTCGTACTGCATTGCGATGAGACCGATCTATTAGATATGGATTGAGCGGAAGACTTGAGGTCGGTTGAGTCTGATTGATGAGATGATCGAAGGGAATTCAAATCAATGTTGGATTGTATTGGCAAGGGCTTCTGCTTCTTGATGGAAATTGGCTTGGTGATCACATATCGATTGCACACTATCTGCGGAGTAAATAGTACTTCGGAATTTTCGGCATTCCATTCAATCGATGTCGGAGGGTAAGTTACCTCTTCGGGCGACGTAGGAGATAAAGGTGACATTAAGACGGATGGATTTGTGGAGTGCTTTGATGATGCGGTGCGAGCTGATCCGTTGGAATCTGCACGATTTCGTAGGGTTCTTATGCCTTGCTGCTTCCCAGAGTCGTCTATGACTGGCTGCGAAATATTGGGGTCCATCACGGTCAGGGAGATAGAAGTCCCGTGAAGTTGTTCAGGAACCTGTTGTTGAGTTTCCGAGGCATCTTGCATAGCATATCGAATTACTGACGATGGTGAAGAAAGGCTATTCTCGACAAGAGTAAAACTTGAACTTATAGGTGAGAGGGGGTCCGAATATCGTTTACCTGTGAAAATATATGAAGGATACTGAATTTTTGAACAAAATTAACAAATAAATTTTTATTCGCTTTTCCTGGATACCTTTATTATCACCAATTCCATGAAAAGAATCTGAATCCGAGCGCGTACAATAATATTGTGTAAGAGACATCCTATGAGATCCTGCGATCGCTTCACCCGAACTCTGGTGAAACATATTATTGCTCAGATTTGGTGAATAATTTCGATTTTTCAAAGATTGTAATGATGACTGCGTCTGAATACTCCTCGGAATTTCTTCATCCTGTAAATATCGGATGCCTCTGCTCCTCCCCTCAGATCCATGGGGATACAACTCCCGAGCACCATTTCTCTCCAAAGATTCTGTCGGGGACTCTTGCAATGACCTTCCACCATGCGAGTCATCAGATTTCTGTGAGGGAGTTTGGTTGACGGCCGCGTAGGGATGCGCATCGAGACTGCTGATTGTATTGTCTTGGTTGGTATAAGTCGGCAGGCTCTGAGGAGGAATACCCTTGGATTGCGAGGACGAGCCACCAAATTTTTGCGCGTTTAACCCGTCACTAGTTCCTGCTCGCGAGTATGAATTTTGCGAACTTGCCGCGCCCATCCGTGATACTGAAGTTGCAGCATAAACATGCCTTTGTTGTTCATTTTTATTAAGGCTCTGAGACGAGCTTTGGCTACGGTTTACGGTTTGAAGGGTAATATTTTGTTCTGGTAATGTATTGTTGTTCCGGAAGTTGTGACGCAACGAAGAAATACTACCTCCACTCGAGACATTTGTGATATTTTCACTATTCCAAACTTTCGCCCCATTAATATCTACCGTTGGTACTTTTTGGCCTGGTGTATTTTGGGACTGTGCGCACATTGTGTAAAATTTTCGAGAGGTCGTTAAACAGTGACATGAGATCTCGAACCGAACTTTTCCCGCCCGGAGTCCGTGTTCCATTAAAATGTATTCTCCAACTGTTGATTATGGCGGAGGTATTAATTATTAGGTAAGGTTATCGTCAATTTTATTTTCAATAAATTAACCTGTCTGTCGTGGTTAAATCCAAACAACCTGCAATCTCAACTCTTACGCCGATCTTATATAAAAGAACTCACCATCAACATTCTTTCCGTTCATCAACGAGGGCCACAGCACTTCTGTAGCCGCCGCTGGCCCGATGTGAAATTTGGTAGTGGCTATCGACCCCGCCGTTCCATAAAAAAACCTAATGATTAATTCTTCGTGGCGCGCGATGAAGCTAAATACGATTGGATATTTCGATTGTGACTGCGTGCTGTTCCAATAATTTTTCATGGAATGGTGTTCTTTCTCCAGTTCCAATTCAAACTCTAGGTGACCAACCTGACTGGACGGACGAGTCTCGTTTATTCTATTATGAAAATGGAAGAATTCAATAAAAATATCTGTGCATCAACAACGTTGATTTAAAAGTCAAACACCGAGCGACAAATTATCGTATTTATTCATAATTTGGTTGATAATAAAACTCACAATTGAATTTTATTGATCATAATCACTCCAATCTTTTGACCACGAATTGTGGGATCGCTGAACTTCTGCATCATCAATTTAGGTGGATCCTGTCGACGCGAAAATAAAAGGTAATGTCGAGATTTGTGACTTTAAAAAAAAAAAAAAAAGCATGCATGCGCGTCAAATATACTAATACTCACGTTTGAAAAAAAGTAAACACAAAATGTAACCACGATCGATTCGTTATATCCCAAGTCTAATTCGCAATGTGTCTCTCCCTTACTGAATTTTTCATAATTCGCAAGATTCAGTTTCGCCTCTCCAACACAACCGACACGACCCTTAATCGATGGATCCCAACATCTTATGAATAGATCGGTATTCATTGTCTGTTTGGTGTTACTGTGCGGAGATGCGAAGAATACAATATTTTCCTCCCACACGCCATACTTTTCTTGGGCTCTGTCTGGTCCTGGTATCCTGTGTTTGGTGAGAGTTGCACAAAAGGAATTAGAAAAGTTGGAGAATTTCTGGATATTCACCCGCCTATTTATCACGCTCTCGTTGACTGATAGCGAAACACTTACATCTCAAACACAGAAGTAGACTGTATCTCCTGATCATATTCAAACTCTAACCTCAATTTCAAGCTATCCTTCAATATTGATTTCACTATTTTTGGGAACTTCGCGGTTTGCTTTTTCCGTAGTATGCTATGGCGAATCGATAAAGACAAGAATTTGTGAGCATCGAAAGAAATAAAGATAACAAGAGTGACACTCTTTTTATTAAGTGGTAATTATTTTGACTCGATGCGGTTAATATAATTGAATAAAAAACACCATACGAGGAATCAACAACTGTTACTATAATATGATAAATTTCCCCAGTAAAAAATTTTTACGCATGGATGCATCCGAAACACACCATTTAATGTTCTTAATGATTATCCCACCAAGAGGAGTCCTAGATGAATTGTTGTCGGTAGTGGTGGCGGTGTTCAGTGAGGTATTGTTGTCTACTCCTCGAAAAATTTGATTCGAGTGGGCCATGTCTCTATGGCAAATGGGTACAGTATAAGGATAATGATGATATCTATTGAGAACGAATAAATGCGGTAAACAAAATGGGGATAAAAGTCTCTTGGATTTTATTCGAAAGAAAATGAATGTGGAAAAAAGAAATTTGGTTCCGAGTATATAAAAGGTAAGAATTTCGGGCGCTTATTAACCAACTCGATCAACATCACAGAGATAAGAGATTAGCATCCACTGTTGATTTACTGACGGGTGACGGTGTTTTTCTCTTCGCAAAAGAATGAAGATCCACAATGAACGTCGTCTTATTAGCAAATGACTTTAATAGCGTGGTCGAGATTTGAAGAGAAAACAGAAAATTCTCGATATTTTAAACTCCAAAAAATGAGTACGTACGCACATGTCGCGAATACAGATACCTGGTATAACAATGTAGACACAATTCTATGTTACCGTCACATATTTTCAAATTAAATTCCCATAAATGGAATCTTTCCAAATTATAATAGTAGCAACAAATGTATCCACGCACAAAAAATATTTTTTTATTGCGATAATGGAAAGAAGTTGGTTGTGTCACAGTAGATAAAGAAGAAAGAAAAAATTCTGTGCACCCCGCAAAATTTCTGATTGGGCAAATGAAGAAATTTAATTTAATTCTCTGGGTATCTAAATCCTGTTTCTCACACTTTGTCACACCAAAATTGTGGTCGAAAGTGTACAGTATTCCCTCCTTCAAGAGAACAACATATGTTTGCAATAATACGTGCTACTCTTTTCTTTTGCATATGAATTTATAAAATATGTGCAAGTTTATTATTTGGATCTTCAACGCGAAAACAATTGGAATTATTGATCCGTAGAGAACTACTGTATCGATCAAAAATGTGTTTCGAATGTCCACTAAAGCGGGATGTGCGTGACTACATTTTTTTATTATACGCAAAATTTTTTCCGAACAGAAAACGAAAATTATCTATCTAATCTAAATCACACTACGATACGATTCCGATTAAAACAAATAAATGTGGTCCCTTGTTTGAAAAAATAAATAAACCTATTAATAGAAACATTTATCGTTATTTTTTTTTTTTTTTTGTTTATCTTTTCATTGAAAACAATTGAAATCCCATGATTCCGGATTCCATATTGTTCTATCTTGTTAATTCTTATATTTTTTAATCACCTAGTGTACCTGTCATTAAATTCATTTATGGTTCATTCTAATCTTGTGAATTAAGCGGCGCGCTGTAAGCAATTACCATAATAATATTAAAACCAGATCTCAGTATCATTTTAAAATCAAAATAGGATTGAATTGAAAATTTAAATTAAAGATGAACTAAAGTATTCGAGACAAAATTTTTAGGAATTCAAAATTACTTAGCATTAAAATATAATATTTTGGTTTAGTTTAATCTGTTTTTTTTTTTTTTAATTAAATTATTAAATTTTAAATATTAATTGAGATTCTTTTGAAAGATGAATCTTAAATAAAAACTTAAAATTATTTGAAATTGTAAAGCCTTATTTATGACTTTTTTAATTCAACATGATAAAAAGTATATAGTGACTCAAAAAATTTTGAATTATTATATATTGCGTGTTTAAAATATTAAGTTAGTATCAAAAAAAAAAAAATCCAAGTAAAAAATTTTTATATTTATTTTATATAAAAATAATTTTTTTGATTTTAAATTATAAAAAAAAATTTTTTTCTCTATAATTTCTTTAGTTTTAATTTTATATAAATTCTTTATCAAATTTTTTATTTACAGTATACAGTATATATTATACTAAATAGTAAATTATATATAGTATATAATATATATGCATTTTAAAATAAAATTTATATCTTATTTATTTTTATTTAATTTTAATTCTAAATATAATATTTATTATTTTATTTATAATTTAAATAAAAATTTTAACAATTTTTATATTTTATTTAGATAATTATAATAAACTTTTATTAAAGTTTTAATTAAGATTAAAATCTAATTATTTAATATTAATTTTTATTTAATTTTAATTATTTTAATCAATTATTTATTTGATAAAAATTTCATTTTATTTTAATTATTTTAATCAATTATTTATTTAATAAAAATCTTATTTTATTTTAATTATTTTATATTTATTTATTTATTTACAACTTATACTCTTTTTTTCTTTAAATACTGATATAACTAATTACTTTATTAATAATTTTTTAAAAACAACAAGAAAAGAATCCTTTAAAACTATATATTTAAGTTATTTTAAATAACT